CCAGGTGAGATTCTTGCTGGGGTGCACTTACCAATGGTATCTGGGTGGGACCCTGACTGGGGCCTGTTCACTTGGGCAGCTGCTTTCTGGGCAGGCTTCTTGCTGGGGCCTGTGCACACTTAACAGAATTATATTCTTTCATCAGTTCTGGAGCTATTGAGATTTTGAGGAAAGGAGTAGCAAGTTTTTAGACATAGGATAGTTCTATTATGAAAGACAGATTAATGATTTTGTTATTGTGTTTATTAAGAGGTTAAGTATGGCTTATAGGAATGTATTTATGTACCAAGTTGACAAGAGGTAGGTTTGTGGCAGTTAATCTTGATCATCACCTTGATGGGTAACAGACTTCTTGAGGAGGTAACCAGACTCTGAGGACCCTAATTTCACAACTGAGTTAACTTAAGCTGATGATGATGTCATAGCTGAATGGTCTAATGGGATGTGGGAGATAGTTGAAGGAAGTGGGTCATGTCATAGTGAAGTGGATTTAGGAACATTATCTGGGTCCTAATTCCTTCTTATTATGTTCTTACTCTATTCTGAACTATGTGGTTGCCATTAAATGAGCAGATTTCCTAAGCCATGCCATATAGGGAGCAGGGAAGGGGACATTATCTGGACCTCTGCCTTGGGTCCTGGCCTGTGAGCCAAACAGCACAATGTGAATTTAAGAACAGATGCAAATGAGACTTAGAGTGAAGAAGCTGAGTCTTGGGTCCTGGTCAGTGCTGCTGATGCCAGCAAAGACAAAGGTCCCCAAGCACACCCAGTATTTATTTAATACAATCATGAGAAAGAATAAGGAGCTAGGGAGCTTTAAAGTCATCTAGTGAATTACAGTAGAACCCTGGCATGATGGCATCAAGCAGGGCTGTCAGGCAGTAGGCACTGCTTATCTTCCTAGGATAGAAGAAACTGTTACTGCAACTGGGTGCAATTAGCAAGCAATCCACAAGGTCAGTGAGAAGTGATGGCTCAGGGGAAAGGATTTTAATTGGGGTCATGCTGACCTCAGCTGCACATAATTGAGCAGGGCCCTGTCACTTCACAGACCAGGACTTAGGCCTCCATAAAAGCCATTACCAAAGGAGCAATGCTAGCCCAACTGTGCTACCTGCCATGCCAATTCGAGTCACACAGGGCTTCAGTCTCACTCCTGATATAAATCAGTATAGCCAAATTATGGAAGGCAAGTAGCATGTGCCACAAATAGCCCACTAGTACTGGGCAGGTGTGTCTCCTACAATGCCCTTCTGCCATGTCATTTTTGCTTTAGAGCCAGCTAACTAAACAGACTGAATCCTCTAAAACCATGCCCCCAAATAAACCTCTCCTCCATTAAAATGTGATTATTTGGTATTCCTTCTGTCTCACTGAAGGGAAAACTGACCAATACCCATGATGTCCTTACTAGAAAAACTGCCAAAAATCTAAGAGAGTGAGCCTGCCCACCTGTCCTGGGGAACCAGTAGTACTGGTGTTAATGACCTGCTCAGGATGAGCACTTGTCCATGGCTGTGAGTGTAGGTGAGTGAAATCCAACTCCACTCTCTCAGGTAATACTGAGTCTTGTGAGTCTCCAGAGTTCCACTGTGGGCATGATGGGGCTGCCATCTTGGGATCCACAGTGGTCATGCTTGTGCCAGGCTTCTTCTCTGTAGTTGAACTGGTGGCTTTGTGTGTTTATAATATTCTGTCAGAGAAATTCTTATTACATTATATGTTATTTGTATGTTAATATACATCTCAAACTCGGCTATGAGGAGTATGCACAGGATATGAGGCCACTGACAAAGGGGAGTGCTGACTGGTGGTACTGGGTACATAGAAAAGGGTCATTCTATTCTAGTGATACATTACAGCATGAAGACCAACCATACTTTAGTCTTGTGTGTGTTTCTCCTGGCTCACCCAATGGAGAAGCAGAGAAGGAGGAGATTCTGCCACACAAGATCTCTTGGGTCCTTTTCCTCTCTAGAACTCCAAAATGTTCCCTTCTGCTGGGTTTCCCCATGAAATCATAAGGCATCAAGAACAAGGCCTAAATTGATACTATTTCT